CCCCAATAGCAGAATTACAGGCTATGTCTTCTCGGTACGGCAAAAATGTTATTTTGAATTAGCTTTTCAGAATCTGAATCATTACTGAAAAAGACTTATCTGATATGTCTGCAGTCTATCTGACGTTCAAATTTGTTGACTTACTTAGCGTGAAACGAAAAACACGGTGGACGTTTTGATTGTTTTGGGTTGGCTAATAAAGCTCGAAAACAATAAAATATTTTCCCACCGGCCGAAATCCTGCATCAAACAGTGGAAAAACCTCCGTTGCAAACCGATTTGACTAAGCACGAATGGCAAGGTAATAGTTCGTCGAAAGCGACAATTGGTAGAAAGTGACTATAGAGCTTAAAACTGCGGCAATTTGTAGAAAAGTCATTGGCAAGTGGCAACCGCTGGGTTCACATTCCACACGAAAGAAATAATTTGCATGAATCCAGGGGGCGGATCTAAAGTTTTCTCGAGGAATGGCTGAGTATCAAAAAAATTTGAATTTTTTTTCTTCCTTTTTATTGGTCGACCAAAATTGATTTTGCGAGTGCTCCCAGAACACTATTACGGCCCTTTTATAAAAAAAAATTCTGCGCCTCAGGCGATTTATTGAAGAAAAAAACAGGTCAAAAACGCGCCACTCCTCAAACTACACCCGTCCTCCTTAAATCCGCTCCTGCATGAATCATTCTCCTCGTCCTGCGTGTTTGCCGCTCATTTTCTCTATTTGGCACCTAGTCCGAAATATATTCTGGTTCAAAAAATTTCTTGACCAGATGTCTCGTTCGACGATTTATCGCCTCTTTAGTGCAAAATCACATTTGATTAGAGATACCGAATTGCCGTTGTGCCCTTAAACATAGTAGAATAGAGCGCTGAAAAATCTTCTCTTTTTCAGAATTAGTATTCTTTATGGTATGATAAATGGCTTGATTCGTTTTCACTACTGTGCGTCACAGGAGTTATCGGGAAGTTTTGATGGATCTTGTTAACAGTTCCTCCCCCCCCCCCCCCTATGGTTAAGCATATGCGAATTCGGTACCTTGTTGCGAATCTCCCCCCTATACTATTGCAATATAAGCGGGAGATTAAATGCGAACATTGGCGTATGGGCAAGTAATTTTTCGCTTCGGAGTGATTATAAACTTAAAATATTGTAGTAAAAAGCGCGCGCTTTTGCCAAGCATAAGAGTTGTTTTGCTCCCTTACAAGGAACCGCAGATTTGCTGTTGATTATAAATTCTATATTGAAATTGAAAATATATTTTTTGTGGGGTGGATATTGGGTGGATATTGTTGAATCAAACTCATGGAATTAGCTCGGCTCATGATGGATCCACTTTTTGTGCAACCCTTACTGAAAAGTATCTCATAGCAAAATAAACTAAGCATTTAGGGTAAATCGTTGCATCAATTTTCTATTATGTTTTTGCTCAAAATATTCAATATTTTCTTCGGATCACAAAGCTGATTGTTCCGATTGAGAAGTTGGAAAAGGTTGTGAAATCTTATCTTGTGAAGTTTTTTTTCTACTATTTTTTCTACTCTATTTTTGTTTTTAAAATTTTTTCTTCTGCAAATTAGATTTAATAAGTTTACTTCACACATTAAAAGTGACGCAAAAATATATAGTAAAACTACAGAAGTAATTGTTTTTCCATTGTTTTTTTTTAAATAGTTGTGACCGGAAAATAGTGTGCTACTTAAACATTAACCAATTTTAATGATTTGTGTTTAAATTTGCTTATGGGTGAAAATTTGAAATTGTTTTAATTTTAGTTAAGATCTTAGGACGATTCTTTTTTTTTCAATTACTTCTGAGATTCGAAATATAATTAATTCTAAGGCATTCGCGTTTTGTTTGACAGTACCTTCTTAAAGTTAGTTTTATTTCTGTAGTACTTTCTTAACAATGGCACCAAAGAGGAATTTTTGTTTGTGCCAAAGAGGAATTAAAATTTTAGGGATCTAGTAAAAAAAAAGTGCGACCAGAATTTGGCAACCATAATCGAGAGGGAATGGGTGCAATCGGCACGACGTTGGTTCGAAAATGATTTGATTTTTTTCCGTGAGTTTTGTACAAAGCATGAACCAAAATTGATCAAAATTATAATTTCCGCAAAAAATGCGCGCTTTTGCTGGCATAAAAGTTGTTTTGCTCTTTTACAAGGAACCGCTAATTTGCTGCTTATTATAAAAGATAAATTGAAAATAATTTTTTTTGAGGTGGTTACAGTTGACTCAAACTCATGAAAAGAATTCGGCTCATGGTGGATCTATTTTTTGCGCAACCTCAACTGAAATATTTCTACTAACGTTTTTTCTTTCGATTACTTCTGAGATTCGAAAACTGTTTATTTGCGCTTCTAAAAGCATTGCGTTTTTTTCGTAGTACTCTCTCAAAATTAGTTTTAGTTTATCAGTACTCTCATAAAAAATCTTTAGATATCTAGTACTAAATGGCGACCAGAATTTGCTACTAGAATTGAAAAGGAATTGTGCAATCTGCAAGCTTCTAGTTGGAACGAGATTTTTTTCTTTTCAATAATCAGCACCTCTTTTTGAATGAATGAAGTTCTGTTTTTCTGTTTTTGCTTCAAACTCTTGAATTTCCGATAATCTGGTATTTTCCAGTATCTGAAGTTATTGTCGACTCCAGTTAGCTTGATTTTCTGGCGCTAAAAATGATTTTAGACTTAAATTTCAGTTTAAATCAAGGGTAATAGATACTCATGTTTGGTCGCTAGTAGCATATGTCGCCTGAAAACAATCTGTCCCAACATTTTCCTTTAAGTTGTTTCCAGCTATGTGATTTAAAAGATGTGAGCATTGCTGTGACTTTTCCACTCAAATGCATACAAAACTCATACCCTCTCAAACTGGACGCCCCTCACCAACCAAAATGTCCCTGCTTTGTATTATATTATGACATCCGTTTTGGCCGACCAACCCCAAAAAAAAAGCCTTTGGAACCAATATATACTACTTTTGAAGAGAAAGCGCGCGCCGTCAAACAACGCAATTTTTGCGTCAAAATTTTCCAAAAAGTGTCCAAAAACGGCCTTTTTTGACCTGTTTTTATAAATATTTTGAAAAGTTTTTGAAATCCCCCCCAGAGAAAATTCTAGATCCGCCCTGGTTTTGACTAAATTTTTAATGCTTTTATTTCAACCAAATTTACTTATAAAAACTAACAAACACTTTGGTTAAAAATGCTTTTTTGGGTTGACAACGAAATAATAAGTACAGGAAATTAAGAAAAAAAAGATCCTAGTCCATAGAAGAAAAAAGAGAAACTGAAACAAGTTTCGTCTTTTTAAACTACTTCGGTGTTATGATAGTTTAATGATGTTTAGACAAAAACCGTGTCCAACATAATTTTAATGTTTTTCGGAAAACTGTAACAAAAGTTTAAGGTTTTTTTTATTTGCAAATATTTTGTCTTTATTACGCGCGTTTTTCTCCAAAACTTCCACAAACAGCTGAAATCGAAATATCGATTGTCTCGGCATATCCGTAAAAAAGATATAGTGAGTTTGCAAACTGGAAACAAGACTGCTCGTATCAGGGCGAAGCCCTGAATGTTCCGACTGCCTTTTAAGGTTTATGGAGCAGCAGTAATAACATTTAAAAAATTAAATGAAATAAGAAAAAACGAAATTTTTTTTTATAAAATTTGAATTTTTTATGAAAATCATCCCCCCACACGCCATATAAAGTACAAAAAGATAGATTTTGTTCCTTCAATTATGACAAATAAGCTTCGCTCAACCAATTTGGAACGATTTATAAGACGGATTAAACCTCGGCTTACGCGTTAATAGCGCGAATTATATCGCGCGTTAATTGTCCCAAATTGGTCAAAATGGCCAAAATGGCGATCTTTAAACCCTCATAATTTTACGAAAAATGATCACAGGTGAAATATCTTTTCAAATTCAAGCTCAGGACAACAATACCTTTTGAATGATATTAAAAAATTCCGTCAAAAATTTCTAGTTAAAAAGTCGAAATTTGTATGAAGAAAAAAAAAACCCACCCCGAGCACAAATATTCCGTTACTTTCGTATCGAAAGTCGGAACAATAAGAACAACACGAGAATTCATCTGAGCGTTGAAAATTGCACTAAAATGGATTAGGTATTATCCAATTATCAACTGCCGCATTCAAGAGCCTACAATAAGTCATACAAGGTACATTCATTTTAGGTAATTTGGTTTTGAAAAAAATTACAAGGAAATTTTTGCTGGCAAGTTAAATGTTGAAAAAAACTATTTGCTATGTTAATGAAAGATTTTGAGGACATCTTGGTATTTTGTATTTTGAAAAATAGGTCAACATTAAGTTTTTTTGTTCGCCGGTAAATCAGAGAAAAGATAGATAAAAAACGTTTTTTTTTGTTGCTGAGCATATCCAATACTGAGTTTGGCCTGCATATTTTGGACAAGTAAAAGATAAGTATTTCAAGCTTTTTCTTATAGTACCTCAATGAACAAAACATAACAAGACTGCTTGTATCAGGGCGAATGTTCCTACTGTATTTTAAAGTCCATGGACTAGTATTCGGTTTAAAGAAATTGGATGAATTTTTTAAAAATAAGTTTAAAAAATTAAAATTGTTTTTTAAAGACATTACCCCACCCGCTATATAAATTACAATTCAACATCATTCTCATTTTGCAATGTGTCAAATAGATCAAAAAGCATGTCTCATTTCAATTTGTAGCAATTTCTGAACGGATTATATCTCCATTAAACTTTATCCAGCATTAATTGTCCCAAATTGACCAAATTGGCAATATTTAGACTTCCGTAAAAAAAGATTTTGGTCTTTTTAAAACTTTGCTTTATGCAAAGTGTATCGTTTTGTACTACATGGCGCGTGAGGGGGGCAATTTTTAACAACAAAAAACCTTAAAAAATTTGAAGTTTTTTCTATTTTTTTAAATAAACTTCAATATTTTATAGCGATCTTTTGTCCATCGACCTTACAAGGCAATCGGGACATTCAGGGCTTTGCTGTGATACGAGCAGTCTTGTTGTGCTGATGAGAGCAAGAAAAGTTCTTATTTTGCCCGAGGGAAGTCAATTCTCCTGTCTTGTTTCGCCTGTTAATAAGAGCACCGTCAAATGACCGCAGGTGATATTTGGACATCAAACATCTTTTGCGATCGGTCTTTACACTCAGTCGATTAATTTTTCACTCTTGTTCCTCTTCAATAAAAAATCACGTGTTAAATAAGGGAGTTGTGCCATCACCAATATCCGTTTACCCCCTTTTATCATTTATAGGTTTTGCAAAATTGCATCTTTTCCCTTCCAAAAATTCAAATTAGGCTCGAAGTAACGAATGCACGCTCCAATTGAAGCAGCTGGATATTTATCAATTTAGTCGTGAGTGTTATCTGTATTGATATTTAGACACGGTTGCCGTCATTTCTTTGTTGAGTTCATTGATAAACCGGATATAATATTGCTTAATTTTTCAGAAAATTTAATCGGTAGCTTTTTCAAACAGTTTGAACCAGTTTGAAATGACTGGTTGATTTAAGAACATGAATATTTCAATGAGACTAAAACGTACCACTACTACCAACCCTCCTCCAATCATTAATTTTATGGTTCCATTAATTTAAGCTGTAGTATTATCTGATCAAATAGATAAATCGAGCCTTAAATTAGGAAAATAAAGCTTTTCAATTTCTGGATTTGTTTTTATAACAATTCACCCTTTGGCTAAGTCTGATTTTCATTTTCGTTTTTTTTTTCTCTAACTTTCCTTCGTTTTCAATTACTAACTTTCCTTCGTTTTCAATTACTAACTATTCTTCGTTTTCCATTACTTTTCAATAAATAGAGCATTAGAAGTAATGAAATAAAGTGGCAGAACTCTTCAGTTTGCGTTTTCACCCGGTGGCAACTAAAATTTCCGTGCCCTGATTTCCTTGCTTTGTTTGTATGGGCTAACTAAACTGATTATAAGTTTCGATCACTTCACTAATATTACGTTATAGCGATTCTTCCCAAGAGGCACTTTTCGGTTGCAAAAATTATTCGTTGTTGCGAGATATGCACAACTATGAAAGACTCTCTCTGAACGCCGGAAGATAAATTCACGAATTTACTGAGGTGAATGGTCAAAAATACTTTATGCTCATTATCTTATTTTGAAAATTCATTTTTGTGAAGTTTTTTATTATCGACAAAACTTATCATTTCAAAGCCCTTACATAAAACAACTTTGAAAAAAAATCCAATTCCAAGTCCCCTTAATGATCTTAGAGGCTTTTATTTGGCCACTGGGAAGCAGTCTGTCGAAAACATTTGTGTAAGGTTGCCCAGAGCATCTGATTTAAACGATATGAGCGCTGCTGTGATCTTGCGACTTAAAGATAAACATAATTCAGACACCCCCCTTGAAAACCAATTGGGCTTGACGAATCATGGAGAACCAAAGTAAGCTAAACTTATTAATGAAAATCATTTTGATTCAAATCTAGCAGACTATAAACTAACTGAATATCTAAGCCAGCTTTGACTTTTTTGTTTGCTTGAGGAATCAAAATTTTGCAACAGGCATTGAACCTCCAAGACCAATTTTGAAACGTTTTTGTTTATCGACCATTTAATCTTTTGGTATAAATACCATTTTTTAAATCATGAGCCTAAGGAACAAAGGAAACGAGAGGTTTGGGGAGGAGTGTTTTCATCGAGTTGACGGAAGAATTATTAAATTTAGGATTTGACGAAAGCTTTTCGCTCAGTTGAAATTACAAAGGTTGTTTCAATCTGCTCAGAACTGGATATGACACAATCTTAAAATGTCTGGACAAAAACCATAGCAAAAAATAATAGCTTTTTTCACTTGGCAACAAGATGTCAAAAATGCTTTCATCAACAATTTGCTTTTGAGGCATTACTACAAGCGTTTTTCCCTTCAGTTCCACCAACAGCTGAAAATTAATTGTCGTTAAATTTCCCCATGAAGTCTTATTGACTTCGCAAAATAAAAATTGTGAATGCTAAAAACTCGAAAACTTTTATCTCAGCGTATAAAATTATACAAAGAATGGAATATACTATTATCCAGCAACCAACTGTCGCTTCCAAGAGCTTACAAAAACATCCAGCAAGGTAAGCTCAATTTGTGAACTTCGACATTAAACATACCCTTTGTTTCACGGTTTTTTTTCTTACAAGCTAATTGTTGAATATGTTTCAGTCATAAAAAAAACAAATTTTGATGTTTTTGCCGAAATTGCCTAAATGCCAGATTGGAATATACAAGGCCGATATGTTGCCTTCTTTTAGCACGCGTAAGTGCAAATTAAATCAGTCTAAAGTGAACTGAGGCCAATTTTGTGTTTTTAATAAGGTACGAAACGTTAAAGTCATTTCTTTTCCTTTTCCATACTGCGTAAGGTTAGAAATGGAAAAAAACGATAAGAAACGAAATCTAATTTTTTGATAATTTTGGATTTAAGAAGCTGCCTTGACATCATGACGTACGAGCAACCTTGAACTTTAACACAAAAGTTAAATCAAAGTGTTTGTTTAAAAGTGTTTATCTGACAAAAAAGCCCGAGAATAAAACGAAGTCAGGTGCAGAACGGATCGAGTTTTCAGATATTTTGCCGCCACTAATTACCTAAAACCTGCACGCAATTTTGGAAACATCAATTTAGTAAAAACAGAACCTGCTTTAAAAGTTATATTTAATTTTTTTCTTGTAGCCTCAGTGAAACAAGTGAAATAACTATCCGAAACAAAAAATAAGTAAAATTGAATATTTTGAAGATATATAAGAAAACCTGCAGACAGAATATCCCTAAAATTACACCATGAAAAAATTTTCTGCTCATCAAAATTTCTTGTTGTGTTTTCAATTTCGCCCATTGCATTTTAGCTGACACAATGAAAATTTAATTTAATGTAACTTTAGTTTTTCTGTCTCCTGAAAATAAACAATATTCAAAAAACAAACTTAAGCTTCTGAGAAAGGTGACTATTTCAGTTCTTCGCTCCTGAATGATATTCAGGTATCACCATTAAAAACATTACTTCTTGAATTACTGTCTTTTTCTTCATTGTGCCAAAAATTCATTGAGTCAGCTTAGATAGCATTATTATGGTATGGTATGTTAAATAAGACTTAAAATAAGAAATAAGATGCAAGCAATTTTTTTAGCATCTAGAAGATAAAATTATTGTCCAACTTGAGCCGGATATTGTGTTATATCAACAATATAATTCGGATTTTTTTGCCGAGAGTTTTTGAATAACCAACTTTGTAAAACAAAGCCCGCTTCAAGTTAAAAACATTTCAGTTTTCTGAAACTTTAGTGAAATTACAATCCGAACAAAAAATCAAAGCAGTATTATCCAAAACAAAAAAAATCCTTATAACTGAAAGTTTTGAACATGTATAAAGAGACAGAATTGAATCAAAAGAAATTAAACTAAGTTTGGCGACACGAAGACAATTCGATGTCGAGTCCTAGACCAAAAAGATCATACCCGATTGGTGGCATTTGTGGGTATAATTGTTTTTGGTCTTACGTTGTTGCTTTTCGAGATGCTACTAATTAGGTGAATTTGCTATGTAATTTGTCAGAAAATTAAAATTACTCCGAATTCAGCAGAACCACAAAACACTCTATGTCAAATCATCATCACTCAATAAAGGATGCCTGTGTAGTGTCGGTTCGTTTGAATTTTTTTTTTCGATCTTGAATTGTAGTTTTTTGAGATGTTACTAAAAATTCGCAACTGAAAAGTGCCCTTTTCGTGCCGTTTTATTGGCAACATTTTTTTGGTCACGCGTTTTTTTTCCCGAAATTCTAATGATTGTCAAATTGAAAGCAAAATATTGGCTACGTTTTGTCCTTCAGCTAATCAGTTGCGAGAATTCTCAGAAGCATGAACGCGCTTGATTGACTAAAAGACAAAAAAACGGCCGATATGTAGGGTCTTTAAGGTAATTTTTGTTCAATTAAACTTAATTGCGTCAGCCCAAATACAATAAGAAATTCTGAGAAACTTTTGATTTAAAGTTTGTGAGTATTCTCAGCCCAAATACAGTAAGAATTTTTTGATTCAAAGTTTTCATCTGAAATACCCTGTTTAGGGAGAATCTTGCCCTTAAAAATAGCATTATTATGGTATGGTATGTTTAAAAAGACGTAAATAAGTAAAAAGTAGCTCGAATTTCTTAAGCACCTATAACATAATAATATTTTCTAACCATTCGGAATTATCTGATTCCTCGTGAATAAAGTGATACCCGGTATCATCTAATGGGAAAGCGAAATAAAATTTCTAATTTCACGCCGTGTTTCCAATCACATAAAATTGATTTGTCTGAAATTTTTGAGCAAAAAAGTTTCCAATTTTTTCACATTTTAACTATCTGATTAATAAGTTTTTATATCCAACTTTTTTCCTTTGTTTTTTTTCTGAGCTGGTAGATAAATTCCGCCAATTAAAAATCCGCTCTTTTGCATCGTTGAAGAAAGATTTTTGTTTCGTTTTCATTGTCAGTTCGTGTACGCGAAACGCATTATGGGGTTTAAATCATTATTATGTTAACAGTGGAGGGGAAAGAAAGTCACCCGAGCCGGTGACTGAACAAGTGCTAGAAAACGCCGGATTGCCCCAGCATCGGATGTTTCAGCTGGTCAAGGAATTAGCTGAGTACGCAACTCCTCAAATACTTCAACTGCCATCTGTACTCGGGTTTTTGTGGGTACTAGTTTATATAGGCTTTTTTTCTTTAACGTGTTCGCAAATGGTTTTGCTCATACAAAACTACTTTACATACCCGACTGCGATTAGTATCAGAGTCGTGTTTTCTCCGTATTTGGACTTTCCAGCTGTGACAGTTTGCAACGAAAGTCCTCTAAGGAAAACGCGAGTACTGCAAGACAGGCGCTATGAAGACCTCGCTTTACTTGATGATTATATAGCCAGTAAAGTTCTGCTATCTTCCAGTAATGGCTCGGATTCAAAATGTAAGAGTAAAAACGATTACAAATGCCCCTTTTCGGGAATTTGCATACCTGAAAAATGGATTTGCAATGATGTCGTGAATTGCGACGATGAAAGTGATGAAAAAAATCCAGACTTCGACTGTGCTAAAATCAAGTTGGACCGTGACGCTAACTTGACAACTGCTCAAGGTCATTGCAATTGGCCTTCGTCGATGTGTCCAGAACAAACTTGCGCGACTGCGTGTGATGGTGTTCCGGAGTGCGTCGAAAGCAACCACTATGACGAAAGTGACTATTTGGGATGTGACGTAAAAAGATCAGAACGGAGTGCCGACCAAGTTCCAAGTCAGAAAAGTTTTCTTAACAAATCTTCGGAACATCGTTCGTTTTACCGACAGAAAAGAGACGGTTACAGTAATTACTATGAAACTTTTGATCCATTAGATTATTTCTCTTTTTACTTTAAATCAAATAATAATCGTGCCGCATTACGTAATGCTCTAGCCTTTGACCAAACTTTAATGAGAAGTTATGGATTCCATGCCAAAGATTTCTTAATTCAGTGCTCATTCAACCATCAAACATGTGATTACTCCGATTTCAAAACTTTCCAACACACTCATTTCGGAAATTGTTTCACGTTCAACTCAGCTTTGTCGGAAAACAATTCGAGTTCTTTCAGAAATCTAACTTCTTCCAAAACGGGCGAGCCCTACGGCTTCAAATTGACTGTGTTCCTTGATGTTAACGAGTATATTGGTCTAACGGCGCCTTTAACGGGAGTTAGGGTTGTCACGCACCATCCAAAGTTGAGCCCGAATATCTACAGTCAGGGTTCTGTAGTTGAGGCGGGAAAAGCTTTACTAATGGGTCTAGAAAGAAACGAACTGGCCAAAATGGGCGGGAAATACGGAAACTGTAGCTACACCTGGCCGGATTTCTTGAACTTAAATCAAAATTTGAAAGGTTCACTTCAATTGTATGACTTATCAGACTGCCAATTTTACTGCCGACAAAACGCTTTAGCTTTGCGATGTGGTTGTATCGACAGCTACACTCAAGACTTCAGGTCTTTTAGATTTCAAGCAAAAAATATTGACAGAGCCAAGTCGAATTATCGATTGCCATTTTGGTGGTAACAAAATAAATATTTAAACACTAAAAATTCCGTGCACCCTCAATTGCCTAGTTTTTGTTAAAATTGGTACAAAACCGACTTGGCTTTATGACCGGATAAAGGCTTTTTTCTATCCTCTCCCTCAAAACACTTCCGTTCTACTTTTTGCTTTCATTTAATCAACCACATGCTATTTTAAAAACAAAGGGATGTTTTTAGCGTCTCGTATCCTAACATTATAGCCAAATGACTTGCCTCAATTCAATTTTGAATAATTTTATCCGCCGCTTGCGCGTGTTATCAAAACGCAATATACCGCTCGTCTCAATATAACTTTACATAACCCCCATAGCTTACAAAAAATAATCACTGGTAAAAAAAGTCAATACAAATTTCGTCAAAAACGTTTAGTTAAAAAATTTAAAAATGACTGAAAATAGAATTGATTCTGCGACAAAAAAATAAAGCAAGACTGCTCGTATCAAGGCAAACAGTTGAAAACGTTTTACGGTCTATAGGTTAGTGTTCGCTTTAAGAAAATGCTGAAACTTTGTGTAACCAATATTCCTTGAAAAAGAATTGGGAAATTCAAAAGTTTTTGCTGTTATCTAAGCACGCTTGTTTGTCATGTATGTATTTTTGCTTGAACTCAATCAACTTCAGCGATGACGAAAACATCAACGAAGCCTCGAGACACTACTGCGACAGCTTTAACGACACGCAACGTCTCTGCCGACAAAGTATCGAAGATGACTCGGAAACAGGAGTGCTGAACTGTCCATGTCCGGATGCGTGTTATACGGTGAACTACTGGACCCAAGAGTCTTTAGCTTCATGGCCCAGTGATGTTTACTCGCCATTCTTAGTGGAACAACTGCTAAAATCCAAGTCACCTCAGGTCCTTGTTGTCCTTTGGAAACAATAAATTTTGAGAATGAACCTGTCCACCTGTCAACTAGCCTGCCAATGGGGGGAGCAGGTCACTAAATTCTGGTTGCTAAAGTTTTCGAAAAACCCCCTTTGATACTACTTCACGATATCCATTTTTTATTGACCATAAATTAGAATTTTGGTCAAAATGCTCCAAAAACTGCCAAAAATCCATTTTTGGTCTGTTTTCAAAAATTTTCCTGCACGCTGAAATTTTGCCAAAATACAGTCTTTATAGGTTTTTAGGGGAGCTCAGAAAATCAATGTGGTGAACCTGAAAAAAAGTCAACAAAATTTAAATTGAGAAAAGTAATGGCAATTAAATTATAATAACCATTATTTAAAAAAGTTGTGAAGAGAATAAATTTAAAACCAGTGAAGAGGACAACACTGTTTCCGTGCAGGTGCACAACTTCATTAGGGAAGTTCTCTCGCGCTCCAATATTTCAAACGAGGATCTGTCTCGGGAATTGAGGAGGAACTTTGCCCGCATCATGGTGTACTACGAGAGAAACAGCTTCGAGAAAGTGTGGGAGAGTCCCGCCTATTCCGTAACAGGGCTCCTGAGTGACATCGGGGGCAATATGGGTCTGTGGACGGGTTGGAGCGTCATGGTCTTCTTTGAACTCCTTCAGTTCTTTTTTAAGCTGGTTCAACTTTGCTGTTGATATCATTGGCCTAATGATACTCTCGGTTTTTTCGAGGTATGAAGTCCGTCTTTCGCTGTTTTCCAGTTTCCCACTTTATCTTACTAATACAGCATAAACAACATGAAGTTGTTCATAATTTATTCGGTGTCCTACATTTTAATACCGTACAATTTAACACCGTAAATTTTAACACCTAGTCATTTCACTACTAAACAATTTAAATCCTATTTTCCAGTTTAAAATCGTACATTTTAACAAGGCAACAAAAAGTAGGGAGTGAAATTGTATGGTGTTAAGTTGTTTAGAGTTAAGAGGGGGACCGTTCTATCAGCTATATTCAATTCATGTTAGTGTATCTGGCATTGCACCAGCTTGCATATACGCCTTCCTTTCTTACAAAACCGGAAAACCTACAATCACTTTTTGCAGGCGTTAATTGATTTAGCACCCAACTGCCGGCCTGAAAATTTTTTGTTGGATTTTGAGCAAGCTGCTCTTCAGTCCTTCCAAAATTATTCCATTCCCCGAAGCATTGTTATCGGATTGTTTTTCCATCTCTCCCAGAGTTACATGAAAAAATTTATTGAACTGAGTCTGAAAGTGACCTGCGAAACGAATCACGGTTTCTCGCTTACACGAATCATGAGTGTAAACTGGAAAACAGCCAAAAATTTCGAAATTCTTTCAATCTATGCATTAAATTAAAGATAAATTTAGTGTAATCCGACGAAATTTTAAAATAAATGTTTTCATGAAACTATTTTTTTATCACGCCCTAATGTAGAGCAAGTTAGTATAGGACAAGTTTCCATATGGCCATCTGACATGGGGCAAATAGTCTTGACACCGCTTCGAAGCGCCAATATGCCATTTTCATTGATGTCATTCAGAAAACTAAAAAACCATAAAAGCTAGAAGTATAATTGAAATCGTTGAAACAGAAAGTCATTAACACAAGAAACTTTAAGCATGGAAATTTTAATAAAAAATTTTTAAAAAAAATTGCCTCGCCCTGGTGTAATGCTCTTTGACGATTGCTGAAAATTATAACTAAGAACCAGATTAACATCCTGTTCCCCAAACTGCCCGGAGTTGGAGGATGTTAATTTAAAAAACTTTATGAAAAATTGTTTGGATTGCTTCTGCATTTTATCTGCAATTTATTATTCAATAAAATTGAATTGGGTGGCATTAAATTTATAGGAATTGAATGGGTCAAAATTCTTTCTGCATTTATATGAGCCATTTCCTGCTATATTAACAAAAATATATATCTGTCCTAAATTACTATGGTTGAAAAAACTGTTTGAAATAATTGACTAAAACGGATCAACCGTACAATTGCCACCAGAGGCGGATCTAGGATTTTCTGTGTGTTGGAGGGGGATTTTCAAACGTTTTTTGAAAATTTTTTCGACTTTTTTATTTGTTCAACCAAATTGAGTTTCCGAGCGCTCCCAGAACTTTTTTGGCACTTTTTGTAACATTTTTGGTCCTCGCTCCCCCTCAACATTAGTATATGTGGCGCCGCAGGCGTCTTTGAAAAATGTCAGGTCGGTCAGCCAAAATAGATTTCTTAAAAGGTACCAAAGGGTCGGCAGGGGATCGAATACCTAAAAGAGTCCACCCACCCCGCCCGCCCCGCCACGCCCCGCCCCGCCCCACCCCGCCCCGCCTAAATCCGCTCCTATGCGTATTTAAGAAAAATCAAATTTTTAAACTAACGTGGCTAAGGTGAGATGCAGATGGATTGTACGGTTAATCCAACTTGACTGCTTGATTTCACTGCTATTCATGGCAACGTTTTGCTCTTTTTAATTCACAGGCACCACACTTGATTTTAAGGTTTGCATCGTGTTCAATCTAATCTCACTATCAACTGAAATATAATTATGAGATAAAATTCAGATAAAGTGTTGAATTTTTGCGTACACATGACGAAAAAAAATTGAATGTTATCCCATTTTTTACTTCAACGTACCAGATGTTAATAAGATATCCCTGATCTTCTAACCGTAATCAGGGTGCAGCGCTTAGTATTTCTTATGATATTTTTATCTACTAAAAAATTGCCAGCCCTATAATTACAAGACTGCTCGCATATCAGGGCAAAGCCCTGAATGTTCCGACTGTCACTTAATTCAAATCGAATAGTTTTTGGGAAAAAGAACAATTGAAAACTTATAAATTTTGAACAATATCAAAGTGTGAAATGTTGAGTCGTACGAAAGTAATGCGACCAATCTGAATAGCTAGCCACTATTCAGTTTGGAAAGATTTTGTTCGCCACGCATAAAATACTTGCGGTACGCTCTCATCATTACGGATAAATTCTTTGAAGCACGCATAATTTAGTCCAGAAGATGGCCAATTTTGCAAAATTCAAACAACAGAACTTAACAAAAAATAATCGGAGTTGAAATATCTTTTCTCTAATGGGGTATATATTTTTTTTGTTGTTGAAAACCACTATTTCGGTCAGCGAAAATTGACTGAACAAAAAACCACACCGAGCATAAGTATTCCGTTTTCTTCGAAAGCCGGAACAAAAAGCAGTAAATTAGCACCAGACCGTTTTATTTAAAATTCGAAATTCGCTGCATTCCAATTGGTCAAAAGTTCGGCTTGGTTAACCTACTTAACATGTACCCCCTTTTATGGAAAGGGGAGGGGGGAATTGATAAGTAGATCCGGTATTGCGCATTTTGCTAAATCAAGTTATTGTTCCAGTTTTTGAAGAAAAATTTGTGCTCGGGGTGATTTTTTTTATCTTGACAGATTTCGATTTTTGAATTCATATGTGATTTTTTTCCGTGAAGTAATGGGGGTTATGGGGGTTGCCAATTTGGAACAATTAACGCGCGATATATTACGTGCTATTAACGCGTAAGCGGCGATTTGATTCGTCTTAGAAATTGTTCCAAATTGGATTCAGGCAGAATATTTGTTATATTTAATACTTTGCTAATTGCATTGAAGTATATTTTGTACTTCACATAGCGTTAAAAGCAAGAATTTAAAAAAAGGCCGAAGTTTTTTTTTGAAGTTTTTTCAGTTTGTCAAAAAATTCATCCATAATTTTATTTTAAACTACTCTTTAAAAATTAAATTGCAATCCGAACATTCAGGATTTGCCCTGAAACGAGCAGTTTTTGCTCCGCGATATTCAAAGAAAACGGAATAACGGAATACTAATGTGCTCGGTGTTGTTTTTTAATTCAGTCAATTTTCGCCGATCGAAATAATAGTTTTCAACAAATTGACAAATATGGACTTACCTCCGATTATTTTTTATAAGGTTCTGGGGGTTTGAAAATTTCCAAATTGGACTAAATTGTGCGCGCTTTGAAGAATTTATTCATCTTGCTGAGAGCGTAACGCGAATTATTGATGCTTGGCGAACTATCCCGCACAACGAAACCACTCCAACTGGAAATGAGGTTAAGTAATCAGATCGGTCGTATTAATTTCGTACGACTCAACATTTCACACTTTGACATTGTCCAAAACAGGAACGGACTACGCTTAGACAGGCTGAATAGCCTTTCATAGAACCTCTGCGAATCGCAGGAACAACAATTATTTTAATTATTATTATTATTATATCCAAGCAGTCTTGTTTTAAATTAATTTTCTATTTGTTAAGCTTAAAAACTAAGCGACGAATGGTCCCAAATGGTCGCGCCACGAAAAAGACCGACCTGTCTTTTTTGTTCAAGATACTTCGTGCTTCCGGGTTGCGAGGCTGCGACCCGCATTCCGCCCTTCTCTGCGTGCGGGTGAATATGTCTCAAAAATCGCAAAGGAGTGGAAGAAAAAATAAGTTGACCAAGTCTTCTGGAAAATTTTTGAGTGAGCGTTCATGAATTTCTTTGAATTCCAAAGAAACACACTTGAAAGTAGGGGCGGATCCATAATTTTCTCGAGGGGGGATGGATTTCCAAAAAAATTTGGCGACCTTTTTTTTTTTTTTTTTAGTTCAACCAACCAAATTGAGCTTCCCCAACCCAAAGCACTACAAAGACCCTGTTTTGGCGAAAATTTCAGCGCCGCAGTCAAAAATTTGAATAAACAGGCCACAAAGGGGGTTTTAGGCACTTTTTGGAAATTTTTGACCAAAAAAAAATCGTTTTTTTTCGGCGCGCGCTCCCCCCTCAAAATTAGTATGTATTGTTGACGAATTTTAACTTCAAAAGCATTGCAGATTTTCCTTATTTTCAATAATTTTTAGTGTAAAAGCGCATAAACTTTACAGTTTTTTGCAGCTGCTTTGATTTTGCACGTGATTCCATTAAAATTAGCAAGTAAAAATATATGAAAGTTTTTCATTATTTGGGGCTTTTTAGTCGAGCGTTCACGTGGTCTCATAATAAATAATGAAAAACACATGATGAAAGTTCCTGCGTTCTATGATGGTCTCGAGCTGATCTCAAAAAAGGCGGTAGCCAGCAGAAAGGCGAGAATGACAGGAGAAATCATGAGGTATTATTTGTTGTTGTCCCGAAGCCAGCTTTCGAAGCAATGATGGTATATTTTCCGCTAATTTTGTACGTAGGCAAAGAAAAAATATATAAGTTACGTTTTATCGCGTGAGGCGTTTTATAGAGCAGGCTGGCTCTACATTTCTAGTAGCGCCCGATGCATTCATTTATATGACTGGTAGTTTGTTAATATATTTCATCTGACCAAAAGTTAATGAATTAGTTATTGTTCCGAATCTCAAGGTTAAAAAGAATTCGCTTTGTTTTTATTATATCTTCTTTTTTGTTATTAGTGCTCCATATACTTTAAAAGGCAGTCAGAACATTCAGGGCTTGCCCTGATACGAGCAGTTTTGTTATTATTCTGTCCTCTTTATTTAAAAACAGAAAACATCCCGTACGCCAGAGCAAAGTACTAAATGTTGTGACTGCCCACTAACTGGTATCGAATAGTTGTTGCTTAACAAATTATTAGAACACCATAAAAATTTTTTCAATTTTTCAAAAAATTCATCCATAATTTTATTTTAAATTACTCTTTAGAAATTAAAATGCAATCCGAACATTCAGGATTCGCCCTGAAACGAGCAATTTTTAATCCGCGACTTTCAAAGAAAACGGAATAACGGAATACTAATGCTCAGTGTTGATTTTTTATTCAGTCAATTTTCGCCGGTCGACAAATTTTGTTTATACCCCATTTAAGATATGGACTTGCCTCCGATTATTTTTTGTAAGGTTCTGGGGGTTTGAAAAATGCCAAACTGGAC